TGTGTATAGTAAGTTTGTATGTTAAAAAAGCCCCCTTTTCAGGGTGTTACACATAAAATGTAAAGAGTTATAGAACGAAAGTTGTAAACTGTATGTTAACTCATCAAATTGTTCAATATTTATACAAACATTAGGTGTGGCAAAAAATCACAACAGTATATTAAATGTGATAGTAATATTATCTAGCTCCAGAATCAGCCAAAAAAACGTATCTCATGCAAGTTAATTGCACTGATTTCTAGGTGTTACCATAACACCATTTCAGAATATATTTTAGTTTTCAAAATATAACACGAGAAAATTTAAATAAAACTATATTGTTTGTTATAAACTAGACTGTTACTGTTTGTTATTTTATGAAATCTCATACATTTAACATGTTGAAAAATTATGCTAAGCTTATTGTTGTAAAGTATGCTGAGTTGGAATGAACATAATTATACAAGTGCTAATCTAGTTATATAAACTATGATGCTTACAGTATATTAGTGTATCTGAATTTTTGAATGTGTGGATTGTACAATTTTTAGGTGAGAAGATAATTCATGTTACCAAAAGTCTTTGAAATAATCACTTGATTTATAACTAAAGGTCCTTGTTCGGTTATGTTCTTTTGTGAAAATTGTATTTGTATGTCATAAACATAGTTATATGGGTAGTATAAAGCCAAGCTAGTGAATATTTAAGTTTTAAATTATTGCATGATATTTAGAGTTTTAAATAAGCGTCATTTTCAGGATGATAGTTGTAAAAAGTAGGACTAGATATAGAAACTAAAAGTATAATCAGTATATTAAAACATAATCATCTGTCTTGTTCAATATTTAACACATACCTTTGTAAATAACTTATGCAATTAAATGTAAGTTGAAATCTGTATATAATCCTTTGCAACATTGCCCACCTTTGTAAAACACATGTAATACAAATAAATATATAAATGCAAACAAAAACATAAGTTGTGACGTATATGGAACCCCAGGAGACTGTCAGCCTTTGCAAATTGTATTTTAAGATTTACCTATAAGGCAAAACTGTAAACACGTGGTTATGAAGTTATATTAAATTATTAGTTTTAAGACTTTGTTACTATAATGTCATGTTAATCTGTATCACACTGACGCACCCTCTGCTTCTAGAGTGCGAGGGTAACTGCTTAGAAATGTCCAAGATTTGTATGGTTTCATACAAACCTGATATTGGAAAACCTAAGATGTTTGTGGCTTTGTTAGCCTGTAACTATGACAAGAGATGTAGCAAAAAATATTATTTACTAATGGTAAAGTGGTAGTTCACGAAAATAAAACAGGCTGCGTATCAAATAATCATAAATCGTGTTTTTTTTTAATCCAAGCTCACTTTTTAACGTGGTATATATGTTATATATGGTATAACGTGGTATATACCACTATCTGCCTAGTTTGGTTGTTTGGGGGTTGAAAAACCTAGGGTGCTCGGGGATTGAATAATTCTCCTTCATCCCATATGCAATATGTAGTTTAAAGTGTAAGTAAAAAGAAGCTACAAAAACAGGGAAAGGGGGTGGACACACACACACACATATATATATATATGGAAAACAAATTGATGAAAGTCAACATGTTAGGAAGAGGAAAGCAAAGAGGAGGCCATAAGTTGATATCGACAAAGCTCTCAATCCTCATAACTAACAAAGTATTGTGCATAATAAATTTAACTTGGCTCTTTGTAACTAGGCTTTAAAAATATCTAAGACCATTAAAGTTCTAGTTCTACATACATGGGCGCCCACAGAAATATTTTCTAGGGTGGCAATTAACTCATCTGTAAGGAAAGTTTTAAACTAGGACTAGACAGTGGCGAGGGCCAGGAAAACTAAGTGCAAAAACAAAGAATAAGAGCCAGTGAAAAGTTTAGGCATGAAGATGTAGTTATAAGCTTAATTGTTACTATTATAATGCCAGAAGTATAAGAAATAAAATAGATGACCTTAGAGCACTGGTAGGAATGGAAGATTTTGATATATTGGGAATAACTGAAACATTGGTTCAACTTAGATGATTTTGATGACCAAAATTTCTTTTAAATACAGGGTTATAGGCTATTTAATAGGAATAGGGTATTAAAGAGGGGCAAGGAGTGGTTTTATATGTAAAAT